TAAAAATTTCCTGGGTCTTAAAATTTCAGCTTCGCAGCTTTCGCGGTTCTCAGGGCAATAATGTTCACCACCAAAGCATTGGCGAAGTTATACGTGGTGCTCGCGGATAAGTGAAGGCCGTACTCGGTACCCCAGGGCAAATGAAAGCTGAATTCGAACCGAAGAGGTCGTATCCAGCCGGGGAAAATTCAAATAAAGAATTTTCAGCTTCCTAGCTTTCGTGGTTCCCGAGATAATAATTTTTCCGCCAAAGCTTTTGTGGGTTCATACATGGTACCCGCGGGTAAGTGAAAGCCAAATTCAAATTCACGGAGTTGCACGTAAGCGTGGAACATCCTACCAAAATTTCAGCACATCAGCTTTCGTGGTTCCCGAGATAATAATTTTTCCCGCTAAAACTTGCGCGGGGTCATACATGGTACCCACGGTAAGTGAAAGCCGGATTCAAGTTCACAGAGTTGCACATTGCGCGAGGAACATTCTACCAAAATTTAAGCGTCACAGCCTTTGTGTTTCCCGAGATAATTTTTCCCGCCAAACTTTCGTGGGGTCATACGTGGTACTCTCAGGTAAATGAAGGCCGAACTTAAGCTTACGGGGTCAAATACGGGTGGGGAACATTCTAGCAAAATTTCAGTGTTCCAGCTTTCGTGGTTCCCAAGATAATTGTTTCCCCCACCAACACTTTGGCGGGGTCATACGTGGTATCTGCGGGCAATTGAAGGCCAAATTTAAATTTGCGGGGTCACACGTGGACAGGGGACATTCTAGCCAAATTTCAGCATCCTACCTTTCGTAGTTCCCGAGTTGAAAGAGCGAGACAAATTGCGGACACACACACACACACACACGCACACACAAACACACACAACCCCGTGACAATATGCGTTTTGTACTGCTGTTACTCAGCATAAAAGGCATAAAAAAGTCCAATCAAAATATCAAATTAGAGTAGTGGTGCTTTGGCAATTAATAACTGAGGGTTATATTATTTAAAGCCGCTAATTAGGCCAATAAGGATGGGAGTTGGTAGAGTGCCTAAGTAATGTGGAAAGGATAAAAACAAATAAAATTTACCACCCTAAACGCTGTTTCAAAGCAAACGATTCTGCAAAAAAGTGATCAGCAAAGCAAGCTTGTACCATGAGCATGGAGGTAACTTAGACCATCGGCTAGCTGTCGAAAAAAATACTGTGCTTGAAATTCAGGCAGTTTCTTTTCCCTGGAACCATCCAGTAGCTGCTGCAGTGATCCGATACAATACTCCATTACCATGTACAACTTTTCTTTTTCTTCAATACGAAAAAAATCACGAAGTGCAATAACATTACGATGCCGCACGCGCCTCAATATCCTCAACTCCTGCTCGACATTTGCCTGAAACTTCACCAAATCGCAATCTTCGGCATGCTTACTTCATTAAAAAAAAAAAAAAAA